TATTGAACAAGGAGAAACCTACTTCCTTCTTTTATGGAAGATCTATTATAATTTCATTCTTATTTACATTTCTCAAAAATACAATGACCACTTTCTTAAAATCTCTCTTCTTCTCCACTTGATATAATCTCAAATACATCTCCAACTACTATCACAATCCCACTACTAGCATATATGGATGACACAGTATAGCACAGAAACATCCTGAGACTCTACAAAATATTCTTAATAATGCCTCTGCCCTTTACAGACTTAACAATATCAAAGTTAACCCAACTAAATCTGACTTACTTTACATTTCTCCAAAAAACTCTAAAGCATCAAACCAGATATTCTTCAATGACAATCAAACAATTGCTCCCAGAAAACCTGCAGATATAATTAGATATCTAGGCATCTTTTATGATAGCAAAGGGTCAACTAAACCAACTCTAGACATATTATACAACAAAATAGAAAACTTTCTACTCCTGATTAGATATAAAAGATTATTGTCTTCTCAAATATATTTTTACTTTTTAATCTTATACTTCAACCCTTTTCAGAATATCTTCTACAAATTATACCCATTCAAAAAAATATACAAACCAAACTCTCTCAATTACTATCTATACAAACAAAAAAGATACTCTCTTTAGCCAAAAACACTAACAATATATCACTTACTAACCCACTTATATTTAATCTGTCTACTTTTACCAACATAATTCAAAAAATTAGCATATTCAATGTTGAACATACTTTTAATACTTTTCTACTTCTTCATAATATTGGTATTCTCTAAATCAAATCTTGGTTATTTAAAATTTGGTATCCAAAGTTTACTAAATAAACACTTCTTATACACTATTGAAAAATGCAAAACTATACACTTTTATTTCATCTCTTACAATTAGCAAAAAACAATATAACAATTTCTTTGTCTACTCAAGTCACAAACTATCCTACTTCTTTTTCTGAACATTCTCATCTAATCTATAACATACTTCTTCCATCTTCTAATAATCTTATACTTAATAGTCTTAAAAGCTACAAAATCTTATTTATAGAACAAATTATAACAACAAATAATAAATTTCTTCTTCTCTAAAACAATATCTATCTTTGTACAAACAAAGCAACTAAAGGTTGACAACCTTCATGGTTTACTCAACTTTTACAAATAATACAAACAAATTCCTTTCAGATTACATGGCCACATCTTCAACTGCCTTTAGTAAATAGCTTTATTAATACCACTGATTTAATATCTTCCTCAATTACAAGTTTTTCTTTTCAACTACTGTCTATAATAAAGATATATTCTTCTTATATCACAACAAATATCAACAAACTCTTATTTATGAGATTGACCAACTAGCAAAACCACTTGAAGGTTAAACAAGCTTAATAGAATCTGTTAACTTACTACCAGACTCCAAACAATTAAACTTTCCTTATAAGCAAATTAAATTCTTTGAATCTGTACTACAAATCGACTATAGAGAAATCCTTGCTATTATTGATATTTCTAACAATCTTAGCCCACCTTCAACCACTTCTCTCTATCAACCACAAATTAATATTACCTCCTGAGAAATATACTTAATACATCATATCATTGATTCCTCGTTCTATCAATACCAACTTATCCAAATATATAATAATATACTAAATCTAAATCTAACTAATTTTCAATTTGCTACAGATGCCTCTATTCAAAAACTTCAATATTCAAACATACAATCTGGTATAGGCTGGATTTGTAAAATAATCTATCAATTAAATTTAATGCTGCAATTAACTCTTCTCCTGACTCTTCTTGATCTAAAATATTTGCAATTATCTCTCTTCTACTTGCTATTCCAATCAATTCTACTATTACTATATATACTGATAGCCTAATTTCAACCAAAAACTTACTTAATCCTTCTTTCTCTAAACTTATTCAACTCAAAAACTGGAATATAATCTCTATTATCAATGCTATTAAATTTACTAAAAATATTTCTATTAATCTTGTTAAAGTTAAATCACATTCAACCAACTCTCTCTATAATTAAGCTGATTTTTTAGCCAAACAAAGCTCTAGCAAACCTCTTTTAATAATCTCTTATACATACTTTAATTTCCCTACTCACTTCTTTTGAAACAATTATATTATTATACTCAAAGCATGTTCTTTTATCAAAAACATTATTACAATTCAGGAACTTCTATCCTGGTCATCTTTCAAACTTCTAAACAACTACACAGCAGATATAAACTGGAATTTAACATTCAAAATACTAAATTCCTTAGAAAATAATTCTCACAAATACTTCTTCTATATAAAAATTCTTACAAACAACCTTCCAACAATGCAAAATCTTAATATTCACTATCCAAATCTATATACAACAAATTAATATTGTAAATGTCCCTTAACTGAAGACTCTCTTTATATACTCTTGTGTCCTAAAAATACTAAAGATATTTAACAATCACTTATTAATATAATTACCAATATGCTTCAATAACCCAACTTACAACTATCCAACACTGGTAAAAAAAATCAATTATTAACTAAATAATAACTAGTAATTTCTGGTGCAAATTATAACTTAGTTACTATATATTTACTAAATAATTTGTGCAATTTATATATTTTTAGTTAATATGTTTAAATGCTTATATTATCTAGTGAATATATAGTAAATAAGAAAAAATAAGTTATAATATGCACCAGAAATTACTGGTTATTATTTAGTTAATAATTAATTTTTTTTATCTGTGCAATCTATTTTATTTCTTAATATGCTTTCATTACCAACAACCAACTCTTCTAATATACAATACAACTCCCTTATTCCTACTATTCTTGGTATATATCTAAGATAGACATATCAAAATATCAAAACTCTAGCAAAAAAACAAACAAAGCACATGCTTATCAAACTTTCTAATAATTTTTTGCACTAGTTCTTTTATGAAATATAGTTTAAACATAATTTCTTTCAATATCAATGGAAAATAGCCCAATATATTATACCTAAAACTAAATATAGCAAATTTTCAACACCCTTACTTACTAACTAAACAAATAAATATAAACCTTACTTACAATTAGTAGACCCACATGATGCTATTAAAAAATAGTATCTACAAGGTTTTTCTCTAACAATATGCCTTTTATAATGTTATGATTGACACCTTAAGGTTTTTTTCAACCTCTACTAACTAGAATTATTTTATTCATTTAAATTAATAATAGTATTAAATAGGGAATAGGAGGTGTAATGTCACATTGGGTGCTCTGTAACACAAGTGTAGTTAGAAATCTTTATATAGAAATTTTTCTAAAACCATACCTTCTAGTTATTAGCTAGTTCTGAGTATACATGCCGCACAAATGTTTGGGATTTGGGATTTTTCCATGGACAAACCCGGACAAATGAGATTTTCCAATTATATTTGAAATCCCATAAGCCCAAACTGGACAAATCCCAATCCCAAATCCCAAATCTATCCCAAATCCTAAATATCATCCCAAATCCCAAATATCATCCCAAATCCCAAATCTATCCCAAATCCCAAACCTATCCCAAATCCCAAATCCATCCCAAATCCCAAATATCATCCCAAATCCCAAATCATCCCAAATTCCAAATTTATCCCAAATCCCAAATTCCATCCCAAATCCCAAATATTATTCCAAATCCCAAATTTCAGTCCAAAAATTAAATTAGTAACATATAAGTTTTATATCCTTTAAGTTTTTTTGGTTTGCTTCACAATCTTGGTATAATAACTCTACACTAGTGTTTCGATCCTACTTGTTAAAGGCTATTCAGATTAAATTCAGAACCTGCTTCGCATATCTGATTAATAATTCGGATTCAAGTAAATTAGCAAATTCGGATTCAACAATATGAAACTTAATGCTAGACATATAGCTAAGAAAATAAACTACAACGTTAAACATTCATGAGCCTAAATAACTTATCTTAAAATACATGAATTTATAATAATTAATTGAAGTATTACATAATGATAAATAAGCAGTTTATTATTCGCATATTAAATATATCGATTAATCAATAATGTTTGCTTATCCTGTTCTTGAGCGCCTCCCACTATGGTTATGTAATAAAATGCATATGAATTATGGATTCATCCGTCCAAAACTGACGGATACGGATATCCACATTTAATCCGAATTGTCGGATCTATCCGAATTATTTGGATTACACTAACCCAGGTTATAACTCCAAACTTTTATTTTAAACTTAATACATTACTGCATTATAAATAAAATAATACAATTTACCACGGCTTGCAAATTGATGTATCTTTGAGCAGATCGCAATTCACACATACATTATTTTCATTGAATTTTAATAATTGATTGTAAGACACAAACCGCAATAAAAAAAAAATACATACGTATTTCAAAAATATGATAGTATTAAAAATCTTATTCGTGCTTCGATCAAACCTAGAACTCTTTTAAATTTGACAAGCTAAGAACTATATTCTTACTCGAACATTTACAATTTATAAATCATTTTATTATTGTAATTATGCATAACATAAAGTTTTAAATAAACAGCCGGATTACAATAAATTGTATGACCCCAGATTCGTATTGATCTTTATTTAAAAAATAAGAATGAGCGGAAACAACATAAATAGATTTAATATTTAGTTCCTAGTGAATCCCTATTTCGAAATACAACAATAATAAATGATTCATCTCATACCATTTTCATAGAATTATTGAGCTAGTGTGTGTTAGTGTTATTAGAAATATAACGATCGTTAAAATAATAATAATAATAATAAGAACGTGAAATTAAGAATAATACTGAGATTTGAATTTAAATCATCATCAAATTGTCAGACGATGTATAATCGAATCCAACTCTCTAGTAAGCACAAAGAATGAATTTAAGGATACAATTTCCAGTCCGGGGGAAGTTATCCCATTACTTTATAAAATCTGACGCGGCGGTGTATTCTTGACTTGATCAACATCAAACGGAATTTGGCAGCTTTATTATGACGATTACATTCCAAGTACTTTCGAACAGCGATAGCTTTCTTGATCAAATGATAAAGGTCTTCAGGAATCTCGGGTGCTAGACCTTAAAAAAAAATAATCAATATCATAATATCAATACAATTACTCAGGTAAAATTTTTTTTTTTTCTTAAAACAATTGCTTTACCGTAAGACTTCAAGATTCTAAGAATTTTATTCACCGTAATGTCTTTAACTGGTTTAAAATTATACAAGTTCCGAAGGAATACACAGAGCTGTGAGGGTGTTAGACCCTTTTTTGCAAGTTCTAGTACTTGCTCACAGATATCTTGAGGCGTAATTCCCATCTACAGCGATATATGATGGTATGAAGAAATAATGGTTACAGTAACTCCTAGAAATATACATAAGCCCCGATTTTACCTTAGTTGCTTCTCCCTGGAGAAAAAAACACTACACGCTATTTATTGCTTTCCCTGAAAAAAAAAAAAAACTATGCTTGGAAGAAATTATTTGATTTCTTGGTATATATATCTATATTGGTTTTTCAAAGCCGTAGATCAAATTACGATCACATTATGTGGCACAATTCATATAATTTTTACCTATTCGATAATTTCCACCACGAATTTCATCAGGAGCCTTACCTTTATAATAAAACAATTTCCAAGTTGCAGAAGTAAAAATGTTTTCGAGGTCATAGGGTTATTTATTTTTACTTTGCTTTAACCGATAAATAATAAAAAATTAAAATCATATACTTACTAGTAGGCAGCGTAATAATCAAGTTAAAATATTATTATTAGATAAGTTAACTTCCGATTTTCACTGATAGTAGAACTTTTTTTTAGAAAAAATATTTTTACTCAATTCTTTGGATTGGGTGTAAATTCTTTTTATTAATCAGAATCATCACTAAGTAAATCATTTACATCGAAGTCTTTATTTCCATGTACAATTTCTTCAATCGCACTTGACTCATTAATCTCTAATTTAGATGATAAATTTATAATATTTTCGACTTCTAATTTTGTCGAATTCTCTCCCACTAAGTCATCCAATTCTGAAAGCTCTTCCACGTCCTCTTCCATTTGTTCTGAAAGTTCTTCATGATAAGAAAACGATTCTTCCTCACTAAACAGATCAGATCCATCTTCCATAGAGCTTGCAATTTTGTTAAAAATCGCTAGAAAATCTTCTTGACGAAAATCTTGTTCTATATAATTAAGTTCCGACCCAACATTTTCAACTAGATATGAATGCATCTGGGCCATAATCTCAAGACGGTCAAGGCTCAATCTAATGTAAAGAAAATGGAATTTAAAAAAATCTTGTTAATATATGTTTGACAAAATTACGTAAGAATTGGCCAATCAAAATTGCTTATGTAAGCATTAAAATTATTCCGAATCGAGCAAAATTTTAAAACTTGAAGTTTTAAAAAATTCACTAAAAAATATTGCAGATTCGACCCCATATACTTAAATTCTATACAACATAGAGAAAAATGAACTCGCCTAGTTCGCCTTTTTCCGAAATACCATCCTAATATACTAAAGAGACGTTCACACGCAGCATTATGAGGGGAGATAGAATGTAGCTTCATAGCAAGGCGCTTGATATGTTCTTCATTATTCTTAAGATCTATGGACATCCACCAATTAGTAACTGTATCAACTGATGCGACGAATTCATCATCGAAGGGATGTTTTTTGTTTTTGTATAAATTCATTTGGGCTTTTAGAAAATCTGCGCTTATATCACCACCACCTAGTTGCTTCCATATTTCTAATGCTTTTTTTTGAACATGTTTTTTATATATTCCGGGTTCAAGAAAATTACCTATTACAAGAAAAAAATAAAAATAATGTAAAACATGTATTTTAAAAATATTCAAGACATATATAACTCTTAAGTACCGCGATAAGCTGGGTGCAAAAAAAAAGACAAGAGATATAAATCTGTATCAAATTCATTCCAATGCTTATTGTAAATAGAAATGCAATCACGCCGAAACTGGTTATTGTACAACACAGAGGTTTCTTGAATCGTAATCGCCATTTTTACAAGTTCAACGAATACATCTGCTAACAAAGTTGTTCGAAACTCCACATCTTTTACGGCCTGTTTTACCGGGCCAAGGATATTCCGCAATTGCTCTGCATCAATCCAAAATTGACGATTAATAATTAAATTTTTTACTGCAATTGAGCGATCAAAGACTTGAGCCTCATTTTCTAAAACCTATTATTTTATTATTAATAAAAATATTGTAAAATAGAAATATATACAATGAAATAATATGTATATCAAAAATTTAATCGCAGTAGTACCGATCTAATGTTTGCTTCATTGTGTAAAACGGATTCGCAAGAATCCCATGCCGTTGACCACCGAGTTTTAGCAGTTGATTTTAAGTTTCCGCCGACAGTAAAAGAGGATACAATCTTTTCTCTAAGAGCAGCGCCAGCTGTATAAGAGTTTCTAAAAAAACTTATTATGGATTGACAATTAGAAAGAACCTTACGTGTATGAGGTAAACGACAGATACTATTAGCAATTAATTGTATATGATGCGCAATGCATCTGATAGGTAAAATGTGGAGAAATTTTGCTGCAACTTGTCGTTTTGCTGCCATCATTGCCAATTCTGCATCGGAAACTACAGCAACAAATTTTTCGGGCCCAACTTTTTCTAGTACTTCTAATATTTTTTCAGTATTAAAATTTGCTGTATGAGAATACATTGAAAATCGCGCAATGAATAGACATATTTCTTCCTATTATCCGTCATTATTACAAATGCATATATGCTATGCTTCGTTGGACTACACCAACTATCTACACATAATGTAAGGTTTTCTGCTTTTGATAATTCCTTTTCTATTTTTAGTGTAATGTTTACTGCTTCCATATCCAGAATTGATGATGCTAATGAGGTTCACTTAGGCGAATTATACCCAGGATTCAATATTTTAGTATAGTCCTTAAAATATGGACAATCGAATGCAGAAAATAAAATACCAGAACACACTATCTATTTAATTAGTGCTTTGTTTGCTCTGGTTTCTTTAGCTTTATCGATGGCTTCTTTTGGGTCGTAGTAAGCATCAAGAGGTAATATGGAATTATTTGATTTTCTTTTTTTTAATGTGGATGTTCCAGATTGCACATGCTCATCCTTACTTTGAATGTCCCGGAGTATTTTAAGTTGAACTTCTTTGGGTACTTTTCCTTTACATTTCAATGCTAGATGGGACTTCATGTTCTGAGCTCTTCCTCGAGCCCATGATACAGAACAGTACCTACAACGCGCCCCCTTGTGCTTCCCTTTTCTACTGTCTATTACATCATACTCATTCCAAATATCTTCTTGGGGTCGTCCCCCTTATGCGATAACTTTATGGAGCTATTTAGTTCAGATTGTGTAGATTCTGTATCGCTAAGTAAAACAGGGTCACTTGAAATTCTATTTATACTTGTTTCTTCATTGTTTGAAATTCTACCGATACTTGTTTCTTCGTTGCTTGTAACGTCTTCCATTATTGTAATTTTTTTTTTTTTAAAAAAAAAAACAGTATATGCTAATTTGAAAAAAAAACTCTAAATTTTACTAAAAAGATAATGACACCTATATATATCTACACTAAAGTTAGAAAAATTTAATACTAAAAAAAAAAAAAGAAAATTTTTTAAGAATATGATTTCAATACAAATTTAATTTTTTTTAAAAAAACAAAAGAATTATAGCGAGCAAATTTATACTTTAATATTTAAAAAATTATTTGAGAATTACAATTAAGGAACAATACTTCTAAAGTATCCATGTCTTATTTGATTATTCATATTCATATTTGTTTAGCTTGGGATTATTCAATTTAAAAAAAAAAACAAAGGATTGTAAGTGAACAAATTTATATTCTAATATTTAAGAAAATTACGATTAAGGAACAATATTTCTAAAGTATTCATGTCTTGTTTGATTGTTCATATTCATATTTGTTTAGCCTAGGATTATTCATTAATTGATATACTCAAAGTATGCTATTATTTATCATATCGCATAGTCAAAAAGAGCAGCCTTCAATCGTAGCCTTCAATCAAAACGTTTAGATAAGAGAATTTGAAGATAGTGAAAGACGGCGTAGGAAGATAAAACAAGATTAATTTATATGTATCATATATATTAACAAAGAATCATTATTCTGGTTTATATCGAAGCATATGTACTTCTGCACATATGTACGGTGCAGGAAATTTAAAAACTACAATCACTTTATATAGAATAAAGGTCAACTAGCTCACAGGAAGTGATCTAAATATGCAACTCTTAATAGCAGCTTATTTCAGTATGTATATAATAGTTACTCTTAAGTACATGGTATTATTCTTTGGCATATTATCTCTATGCAAAGAGGTTTTAGACTGTTATTTAGATTGATAATTTATGATATACTCAAAGTATGCTATTATTTATCATATCACATGGTCAAAAAGAGCAGCCTTTAATCGTAGTCTTCAATCAAAACGTTTAGGTAAGAGAATTTGAAGATAGTGAAAGATGGCGTGGGAAGATAAAACAAGATTAATTTATATGTATCATATGTATTAACAAAGAATCATTATTCTGGTTTATATCGAAGCATGTGTACTTCTGCACATATGTACGTACATACTATCATGATAACTACCGAATAGAGGTTTGACCTGAAATTCAAAAAGGAAATTAAAACAATAATTGATCAAGTGATATTGTTGCAGTTTCTTTTTTGAATTTCAGTTTGCATCTCTATACCGAATAAATAGTACTGTACAATATTTAATAACCTATGCTATGATTATAAACCTTATTTTTAGGATTGCTTATAAAAAAAATATAGCTGATATCACAATAATGAAATCAATTTTTTGCACGATACTTTTTTCCGAGCAAACCTTGGATCGCACATAAAAAAATATCACTGATACCACAATGACAATATCAATTTTTTGCATAATACTTTTTTTTGAGCAAATCTTGGATCGCACATAAAAAATATCGCTGATACCACAATAACGACATTGATTTTTTGTAAGATACGTCTTTGTAAAAAAAGGTTGCTTGATATAATAAAAATAAATTATCGAATAAAATCTAATATTCACAAAAAAAAAGTCTTCAAAAATAACATTATCAGTAGTCTGAAAATAAATTTAATTTCAGTAATGATGTTAGCAAATAGTTTGGGATTTGGCCATAGTTTGGGATTTGGCCATAGTTTGAAATTTGATCATAGTTTGGGATTTGGCCATAGTTTGGGATTTGGCCATAGTTTGGGATTTGGCCATAGTTTGGGATTTGGCCATAGTTTGGAATTTGGAATCTAGGATTTGGGATTTGGGATTTGGCCATAGTTTGGGATTTGACTATAGTTTGGGATTTTGCCAAAGTTTGGGATTATAACAGCCCAAATAAAGTTTTTCCAATTTGGGATTTGGGATTTTTCCATTTGGGATTTGGGTTTGAGTGGGATTTTATTAATTTTTAGTTTGTGCGGCATGTATAGCTACAACCAACCCAACTACAACCACTGCCCAACCCAAACATACTTCCTAAAATGGCTGCAAGAATTTACTACTGATAATTGAAGATATCCCAACAGCATAGCCTAGAAGTCTTGATCTTTCTAGCTAAGAATGAGTCAAAAGTAAATTTTAGAAATAAATAGCTCTAACATCATATTCTCCTATATATAAATATATATTCTTACTATATAATTTAATTATATTTATAATAAAGTAAATCGAGAAAAGACCTTTTTTAAAATAAAAAAAAAAAAAAAAAAACAATATTTTTATTTAATCTATTTTTAATCATTTCATTACTTATATTTAACTTTTTGTAATAGGCACTAAGCATAACTTGGCATATAGTTATAGTGTATGCCAATTGCAAATTAGTCAGCATAATAGCAGGCTATGCTCTTTCAAGAATACGAATAAAGTATATATCAGCAGGATTATCCTCACTAATAGGAGCAAAAAGTTTTTGATAATATAACTTTGTTTTTTCAAAGGTTTTTTATGCCAATATTGTTTGAGATATGGCGCTCAAGTTTATATGGTCTAAGAGGGTCTTCCCAAATACAGCAAAATTTGATTCTTGAATTTTTGTCAACACTCGACTTCGATATAAATAATAGTAGTTAAGAAGCTATAAAAAATATTAAACATATTTAGTATAAATTAAATAAATTTGAATTTGTTCGAATTAAGTTAAATTTTATAGAATAAATAATTTAAATATAAAAATATAAAAAAGCAACCAAAATTAGAAAACTGATAAATCAAAAATTTGAAATAAGTAAAATAAATTGTCGGGGATGAAGCTGAAATCGGATGATGCTGAAATTTTGATCTATTTTATTATGAAATTTTAAAAAATTTTTGGGCCTTTTCGTTAGGAGTTTTTTTTAGGGTTAGGTTAGGGTTTAGGGTTAGTATTGTTAGTAAAAAAGTATATGTGAATTTTAGTAGGTATTATTGATTTAAATGGAGACTCTAAATTTCAGCATCAGCTAATTTCAGCATCATTCCCGACATAAATTAAAAATAAAAAAAATTAAATAAAGCAAATCAAATTAAACTAAAACAATATAAAATAATTTGAAATAATTCATATAAATATAAAATTATAAAATATGAATTATACAAAAATTATGAAAAAATAGAAAATTTTAAATCAACTAAATAGTAATAGCAAATCTATTTGAATAAATTTAAACTAGTTTGAATTTTATAAATATGTACCGGTTTTGATAGTTTATCTTTATAATATACATTCTATGCTAAATTCTCGATAGTTGAATAAAATTTAGGTTCTTTTTCAGCAAAATACTCCTTAGCAGCCTCCTTTAATTTATCTGAAGTAGGGTAAATAGCTTTAACAATAAGCCTTTTGGTAATGGCTAAGCACAATTGCTATTATAAAATAAAATATTATTGGTTAAATTAATTAATTATAAAAATTAATATATAAAAATAATATTTATCTTAATAAATTTTGTTTTGTTGAATATGCTTTGACCTTCCAACAAATGACTATCCATATCTGAAATTTTTTGCTCTAATTTATTAACCTTTTCAGTTAGTTTAATAAGCAAATCCTTAATTTTGTTCAAAATAGTTTGATCTAAATTAATTAAATTTAAATTAAATTAAAAATACTATAAAAAGTAAAATAAAAAATAAACAAAATTATATTATTGATATTAACCTTCAGAAGGCCTAGCAGTGGAAGTTGAAGCAACTCGAATTGTTTCATGAGGTTGCACAGCAACCTGCTATGTAAATCTTCAAGTTGCGCTACTACTAGCTAGTATACTTAAAAATTCTGCTTGCCTTTTTGCATTTAATCTTTCAAAATTTTCAGCTTTAGGTGAAGACATATTATAAAATATATTATATAATAAAAAATATAAAGAAAAGATAAAATAATAATAAAATAATAAAAGTAAAAGAAAAAATAAAAAAAAATAAAAATAAAAAAAAAATTTTAAAATAAGTAAATAATTAATGAAAAAAAAATAAAAAAGAAAATAAAAAAAATTAAGAAGAAGCGAATAGATACAAATTAAGTTAAATTAAGTTAAACTAATCGAAACAAGAAATATCAGTAAAAAAAGCAAAAAAAAAATAAAAATATATGAAAAGAAAAAAAAAATAAGAAAATTCAAAATAAGCTAATAATAAATAAAAGAAAAATAAAAAAAATAAAAAATAAGGTATGAAAAAAATAAAATATAAAAAATAAGAAGGATTGAATAGGCGCAAATTATATTAAAAAAGATTAAATCAAATTGAAACAAGAAATATAGAAAAAGAAAATAAATTTATATGATGAACAAGTTAGAATTGATAGATAATTTAAAAGAAAATATTACAAAGAGAAAAAGAGCTAAAGAGACTATATTTAAAGTTTTTTAAATTAATTCTAATACAATCGAATTAATCCGTATCTACTTAGATTTATTTAAATTATTTTGATAAAATTTAAATCTATTCGAACTTTTTAAAGTAATTGATTTTTACTTTATTATAATAAATCATTATATATTTACTTTTATTTAATTATATAAAATTAGTATATTAAATATATTTAATTTATTTCAATATATTAGTCTTTTAAATGTATTAAATGATTTTAATAACACCTGAATTTTTTAAAACAAATTTGGTCAAGGTAAAACAATTTGAATTAATATGATTTATTTTACATATTGCTTTTATTACTATATTTAGTTTATGCAAAATAATTTAAAATAAATTAATCCACTTTAAAACAAATGAAAGCCTTTTATAGTAATTATA